GGTCTCTTTTATAAACTAGGTTTAGGTATCTTTTTGGAAATATTTAATTTCCATTTTAAGCAGAGAATAAGATGTGAAGATTTTCCCGTCTTCTTGCCCCCTTTTTTGTTTTCCTTCATCACACAACGAAGTGCTACTTTACTTTTTGCTATACTCTTCATGCTGCCTGTGTGTTTATTCAAAGAGGGTTGGTTCCAACACATGCTATACTAGCTATTGGGCAGCAAACGCATTCCTATTTTTATTTTTTAATTTTTAATTATTATTATTATTTTTTAAACAAAATCTAAAAAAATTATATATATATGACACGGACGGAAATTTTAACTCATTTTATTTATTTTTTTGAGTAATTTAGATTTCGGTCCCATGGTATACCACTTTTGCTTGGATATAGTACAAAGGTTTTGTAATTTGTTTCGTCATGCATTTTATCGCTAATCTTTTTCAAAATAATAAAAGTTCACACTACAACGTCAAAATAAACTATTTTAAATATTGCAAATGTTAAAGTGAGGGTGACTATTAGCTCCTTTAGTAAGAGACGTTAGGGTTTGCTTGTTGCTATATTTTGGTATCAACATTCAAATATAACAAAATAATACTGCTAAATGCAAGACATAGTAATGAGTTTTCATTTAGTTGTTTACAATAGCATCCTACTTTCATTCTTTATTACAATATTGTATTTTAATTTTTATCTCACTAGGACATTGTACTTTAAAAATCTATCAAGTATTATATTTTTAATTTTTTTCTTCATAGGACACTGTAGTTTGAAAATTTACTTTGTAATTGGATGATTAGATAATGTATGTATCCGATGTTGATTTTGATTCCATTTTGTTTAAATTCTAAAGTGGTTTTAAGGTACAAGTTCATATTCTAGAATCAATTTCACAATAAATCAAAAAAATAGCAACTTACAAACTCAAAAAGATTCCTAATGGCTAATTTTTATTCTATTCTAATCTCATCAATGAAATGTATAAGATAATTAATTAAGATCAAGGTTTAACTATCATTGACAATGACATGTTTAAATTACTCTCCGACAAAAAAAGAAAATAAAGAAAAGAGGGATAAACCATTAAATTAGCAACATGCTTTCATTTATTATCTATTCTAGCATCTATTTTTCTTTTGATAAAAATGAAAAAAATTCAAACCTTTTATTCTTATCGGTTTTATTATGGTAGGATTTCTGCAGAGCCACTGCCGCCTATTATTTCCATCAACATTCTTTATTTCTTTGTGTAAAATTGGGATCAAGTTCATCATTTGGAAGGTTCAAATTTCTTGGCTAATTTTTTGGGATGTGATCGATGGTTACATAAAATTAAGATTGATTAAGATAATCAGAACCTAAAACATAGAAGTGTTAATGATCAGGAAAACAAATAAACAGATGAATATAAGGGTGCTACATGTCTAAAAAAGTACTACTATTTTATTAGAGAGGATAGATATAGATTCGTGCTTCTATTTTTCTTATTAAGAGTACATTAATGACATCAAGAAATAAACCCAATTATAATACAACTATAACAAGATTTAATGCCAAAGAAAAATGAAAATTTCCAAACCTTTCATGCTTATAGGTTTCATTTCGATAAGGATTTCTTCAACTTTGCTAAAAACTGGGAAATTAAAAAAAAAATTAATTTTTACCGGAGATCAAGTCAATATGACATCAAGAAATAAACCCAATCATAGTAGAATTAACATGACTAAATGTCAAGTAAAAAAATCCAAACCTTTTATTTTTATAGATTTCGTTATCGTTGGATTTCTCCTGATTTCTCCTCTTTTCCAAAACCGTTGTTGCCATTATTCTCATCCACATTCTTTATTTGTGGTGTAAATTGGAATCAAATTCATCATTTGAAAATTCAAGCCATCTTTATTGCTAAATCTCCAACATAAATGCATAATGTGACATGTGGATGTTGTCATTAAAGAATGTGGAAAACCAAATTATAATATAAAAGTAAGAAAGAGTGTCTATCATTTAGGTGCTGTTTGTTTTTTTATAAAAACCTCTTCAAACCACTTATTGCTGCGCGGCGCAGCACACGCGCATCACTTTCCCTCTCGCAGCAGTTTGTTTTTTGGAAGACTTCAGACTACAAAACCTCTGCGCGTGTGCTGCGTGGCGCAGCACTTGACTTGCCTCTTCTAACCTCTTCAGCTTTCATTTTTTTCCAAGTGTTTTTTTAAGAATTTTTGTATAACTTTTTTTTTAAACTTTTTTTTAAGCTTTGATTTTCTTAAATTTTTATTTACGGGTGTGATACAATTTATTTTTATAGTTTCCACGATTTTTTTTAACTTGATTTTTTTAATTTTTTTACCGTTTTATTAATAATATTTTCAATTTCAGTTGCATCTTTTTTTAACGTGCGTAATTTTTTACGAACTTTGTAGATATCGTTTGCAATACTTTCTTAGTTTTTTTATTATTTCCTTTTTTAATGTTTTTTAAAATTAGTTTTTTTTCTAGAATAAAACTATTAGCTTCTTTTACATTTTTTTAAGTTTTTTTTTTAAAAAAAGTTTTATATTTTTGCTTTTTTACATGTTCTTTTTATTATTATTTCAATGTTTTAAGACTAGAATTATTAAATTTCGGTGTTGAGAACTATTTTCAGTTTACAAAATTAGTTTATTTAAATTTCAGTTTACTGCAGCAGTCTGCAGATGTTAAAAAACAAACATGCTTCTTATTATAGGCTGCAGCCGTTTGTTCCACCTCTTCTGCTACAGAGGATTGCAGAGGTGGTCCGCAGACTTCATGAATTTTCGCTTCGAAAAAACAAACAGCACCTTAGTTACTAACCTCCAAAAATAACTTCTTTATTGTTGCCATCAAATGAAAATAGTGAAGAAACCGATAAATTAAGGTGAAACTGATAATTTTTCTGGTGTGTTAACTACAACTATGCTCTTCCTGTAACTTTTTTGTTAAATCATCTCATGATTAAACATTATAACATTCAATATTACTAGTAAAAATGTATATATTTTCTGCATACCAAATAATATGTCATCAAATGACCCAACGGATTTGTTGCCTATAAAGCTATACTACCTAAATAAATTGGTAAATTACTAATATTTTCTGTGCCACCTCATTTCCTTTCGCTATTTAAAACCTAAAAAGGATCAGATTTCACTTCTTTTAATTTTTTTAAAGTTAAATTAAAATACTATAATGTAATAAATAAACGAAATTAATAGTAAAAGAAATCTTAACAAACACAAAGTTAATAAAAATAAAACTAATACATGAGAATAATTAAAACCACGTTATACTATTTTTTCCCATTAATGATCCTTTTAACACGCTCTCACTTTCACCGACAAATTCTTTCTATGGGGTATTTCACTCCACCAACACCACCTTTCACTTTCACTGCCACGTCATGCCTAGAGCATCACAATTCCATTCAACTCATGGAGAGTTGAATAAAATGCCAAATAGGAAAGAAAATCAGTTCAAAAAAAAAATAGGAGAGAAAATCGGTTAAAAAAAAAAATAGGAGAGAGAATGTATTTTTCAACTCAAATTTTAAAAAGTCAACAAAATTGCACTAGAAATTCATTGAACCCTTCAATGAAGATTGAACCTTATACTCTCTCTTCAATATTATAATCAAATTTAATCTATTCAACCCTTATTGCACTCTCATTGTAGATGCCTTAAGTATTTAGAGTTCCCTATTTTCTGTATGGATTAACAATGCATACGTTAATCATATACTACATAATGTGGATTTACTTTAGCTAAAATTTCCTTCACGGTCTCGGGAAGCACAAATGTGACAAATCCAAACAGTTATTTTGATGATACAAAATCCTCGCATCTTGAACCCGTCCAACATGCTTCAAAACATTAAAATTTTTATTCTTGAAAATATGATAATCAAAATCACACATTCACATCAATTTACGAATTACGATTTAACTATAAAGTAATTTGAAACATCTTCTTAAAAAGTACTATCATCTAGAAATGTCAATTATATTTTCAGTGAGCTTGAATTTGTATTCTTGAACCCGGTACAATCAATCACTCGACAAAGACCAAATTTGTGAAATTGTCTCGCATCATCAATGTGGTGTTTTTAAATATATAAGTCATGGGGCGTGTTTGACACGGAGCTTTTGGAAGCGTTTGGGAGCTTCTAGCTTTTAGCTTTTGACAAAACGCTCTAGTTTAAACAAAAAGCTTCGTTTGTCAGTACGATCGTTTAACTTTTAGTTTAAACAAAACGCTCCAAATCTAAAAGCTATTTCATGTAGCGTTTAACAAAACGCTACTGAGCTTTTGAAATCAATTTCCATAATTACCCTTAAAAATATATTTATATATTTATTTATTTTTAATCAATTGTCCTTTTATGTAATTTTATATATTTCAAAAGCTACCAGCTACTTTTACCAAACACTCATATAACAAATAAAAGCTACAGCTTCCCGCTACCAGCTACCAGCTACCCGCTACCAGCTAACCGCTACCCGCTTCCAGCTAACAGCTATTTTTGCCAAACACGCCCATGGTGTTTTTAAATAGAAAAAGTCTTATATATGTAGCATATAAACCCAAACATAACCCAACTTCATCCACAAACACAAACAGGTATACATTTTTTTCCTTACCCTTTCTCTTCTATATATATGCATTTCAACGAAAAATCCAACATGAAAACCCAGAAAACATTAAAGGAACAAATAATAGCTTACAGTTACAGCATATTCATATTTATGTTGTTGCTTTTTTTCCAGATACAAAGGAAATCCAACATACAAAACTATAACTCTATAAGGTGAAGAATAATAAAAAAAGTGTAGTTTTTGCATAATAACGAGCAGCTTTTTGAGAATGGATAATGTATTTATGTAAAAACAAATATATTTACACCACTACAACTATGCACCATAGCCTTCAATTCCTATGTCATCTTCAATCAATAAAAAAGTAAAAAAAAAAACTAAAATCAATAAAACGAACATTCTTCTATCTTCCGGCTCAAGAAACCATCAACGTCTTCATCTACATGATAAAACTGAGGTGGTGTGTAATCGAAGAACTTCACGCTTGCCACCTTACTGCAGAAGTAATCATCAACAACTTCAGTTATCGGCGGTGGTAGAGGGTCGAGAATAGCTCTGATCTTCATGTCTTTACCAACCCAATCATATTCTTCCATAACGTAATTAAGATCTTCATCGGATGCAACTTGCACTAATAAGTAAAAATCGTCCATAGGCAACTTACACCTCAGGTTCATAGAAGGTCCACATACGTCCCACATCTTCACGATCAATTCTGTGTAAGTGATACTCTGATCCACAGTCATGATCTTGTTTGTGCCACCAATGTATTTGAGTTTGCCATCATTTGGACACACCTTGAACGTGCCACCATAACTATAATGGAATTTTATCTTCTTGCTGGAATCGGAAGGCACAGCCATGGCTAATTAAAGGTATTAACAATCAGGAAATGTTAATTAAGCAATCTGATGAACAAGAAGCAGAACGTACCACTACTAGAAAAAGGTTAATAGAGTACGGTTGAAATTATGAATATAGTACGTACATAGCAGACGTATTAGTAGAGGGGTGTATTAGATTACATGCATAATAAAGTACGGCTATTTAATCGTATTACATGTATCCTATACCATCCCATACAATCATCTAGTACGTCATATATACACATCTAATACACCAATAAATAACCGTACTTGATGTCTCAAGTATCATCTAATACGCCTTATATACACATCTAATACACCAATATACAACCGTACTTGATGTCTCACATCCCCATTCCTTCCAGCCCATTCTGGCTTTGCATTCCAGCCTTATTCTAGCCTTTCCAGCCCATTCTGGCTTTGCATTCCAGCCTTATTAATCAGCCAATTCCACTCCATGGATGCTGCGGAACACATGGATCACCATTCCAACTGAAACAAACTCAACTGTTAAATTTGATAGATATTCTTTGGAATGGTCTCTAATCAATGTCACACTTCTTTTTTTCTTTTCTGGACGATCCATTGTATGCCTACAAAAGCATAAACACTCATATAATTAATTCTAAGAGTCTCAAACACACAAAAAAAAAACAAAACAAAAAAAACAAAATTTTATATAAAATCGAAGATACCCAAGGTAAGTTTATGTTCTTTTCAAAGCAAATTCAATGCTTTATGTACTCTTGATTCATATATTAACTCAAATAATGTTTGTTAATATGTATATCAAATGCTAGTTAATATGTATACCTTGCTTCAAGATGTTTCGTTTTGGGTTTACCAACACTTCTTTTTCTGGTTTTTCTTTCTACCATACGGATCCTCCTACTCTTGGTTGTTTGCACTAGTACCTCATCCATATGTAATGGTAAATTTCTGATGTATAACCTCAGACCTGTTGATAAGAAAATAAGCATAAAAATGATCACAGAAAATGACGAGGGTAATGATATGTTAAAGATTATGACTTAATCCAACTAATGAGAAGATTATGACACTTTTTTTTATATATGAAATGAGAAGCAACTCTGATGTTCTGTATAATGTTTGTATAGAATGTTTTGGTAATTCAAGAATCCATGAAAGAATCTTGAAAAAGATGCATCACCTAATCTTTCCATATACAACATCCAAAACATAAAAAAATCATACCAAAAAAGTGTGATATAGTCATTTCATTTAGGATAGAGACCTTGATGGTTATATAACATAAAAATAAGGACCAAAATTATATTTGATGCAATTTATAATCAAATACAGCAATAAACAATTACATTTGATGGAAAAAAAAGAAATATGATGCAATTTATATTCAGCCCTTATTGATGGGTACTGCAAGAACGGTCAAATAAAGGAGGCGTTTTCACTTCATAATGAGATGGTTCAAATGTGTTTAACTCCAAATGTTGTAACTTATACTTCATTGGTTGATGGTTTATGCAAACAAGTGAAATCTACAAGGGTATGTTGGGAAAAGGAGTTTCCCCAAATACCAACACATATGATGTTCTAATAAGAGGACACCGCAAAGCAAGGAATATGAAGGAGGCATGGTTTTTGTATAAAGAAATGGTGGAGAAGGGATATGATCTCACAGTAAATGGTTATAATGCTCTCATCAAGGGGTTCATTAAAAGGAAAAGATATTTGGACGCAAAAAGTATGTTTGATGAAATGGAAAAAAAATTCCAAAAATACCCTTTGGACTTTTCTACAGTCAAAATCAAAAGCATGATATCGATATGATACAAGTTAAGCTTTCAACATGCATCCTCGTATAATGTAGAATTCCATTCAGGTGAAAAAGCACTTGTTTTCAAGAATATAAATAGTTCACTTGCAGCATGGAGAGGCATAAGCACGTTTGTAACAGAACTAGCAGTGATAACAGATTGATTATACCCATCCGTGGACCCCACTGACCTCCCACCTTCTGAGAAAAGATCACCAAACAAAGGTGTTCTAAAACACAATGCTGTTGCAGAAAATTGTGTGAACTAAGTGGAGAAACGCCTCCAGTAGCAACAATACAAGGCTTTCGATACTGAACTCAGTAGAAACATTGTTTGTGGCAAACTCGTATCTACTTGCAAACAAACTAGACAACACGTTGATAAATGATGCAAAAGATCCCAACAGCTTAGCATAATATTCAACATATCAAGGAGACAAGGAATATGAAGGAAACAAAATAGAGTCAATGATGTTTACAAACTATATGAATGGATGCTAATGCCACTCCAAAGATGTACAAAATAGAGTTGATGATGCTTTCTAGGGTTATCAACCATCAATATGAAGTAATATGTCGTACACAAAGAAGACATTGTCATAAACAAAACATTAATCAACTACACCGAAAGGCCGATCGTACCTGTAAACAATGTGAAAGAAGGAGGAGGCGGAAGCAGCTGTAGGCCGGAGTAGGAGACTTCGTATGTGTCGTCGACCGGAGACCGGCGGTGGAGGCGTCGTCGGCCGAAGGCGGAGGCGTCGTTGGCCAGAGGCGGAGGCGTCGTTGGCAGAAGGCTTCATCGTTCTCGTGATAAGCAAACAAGTATAAGCAAAAGTGAAGAATTGCAATTTTGACTTTTGGGTCAATTTTGTTAAGTTTGCAAATTCTTTTTACCCTTTTTTTCTTTTGTATTAGTATATCTTTTTTTTTCTTCAAGGAGCTCAAATGGTCTCCTTATTTTTACGGAAATTCTATTCCAGACAATAAAAACCCATAACTTTTATTTCGAGTGTATAATTATTTTGTTTTTTCATGTTTATTGTGATTTTTTTTCTATAATAGTTTAGTAATTAATTTAAACTTAAGAAACCCCCAACAAAATATTCTTAGTTTTCTATATAACTTTAAACATAACCATGTTTATAATTTCTCATTATTATTATTCGCAAGAAAACATGTCTAATTCTCAAGTATCTTCATGAACCATGACATGGACTCAAAATTTAATGGGCTTGATTATTGCAAGAAAAGATGTCCAATTCTGATGTAGCATAAGCAAGCAAATTGATTACCAAAAAGGCAAAAAAAGCTACCGATTCATTGGCTGATAATGTTGTCATGTTGTGACATAATTTTATGATATTTGCATACGTGATATGTATTTGTATCATTTACTCGAAGCAATTTTGTGTGTTTTGTTGGCGTAATTCAGGAAAAAGCCCACAGGGGCATTTTAGGAAAATTGCTTTTATTATGTTTGTTTCCCGGTTTTAGAGTATGACTTAAACTCTTTTTTCTTTTATTATAAATATGCTACATTATCACCAGTAAAATCAAAGTTTTTTCAGCAATAAAAGTTTTCTTTTCCACCAAGCAAAATCAAAAAATCTCATTTTTCTCTTCCCCTGTTATCACCAGTTGCTTGCTGTGTAGTTTTCTTTCCTTCTTTCCTTCCTGTTCTGTTTTGTTTTCTGTTCTTAGGCAACAAGGTTGCAGCAAGGTATCAGGTAGATACCTTACATGTCTAGTCTTTTGATTTACAAGTAGCTGGTTGACAGAATGACACACCAATCTAAGCAATTTAAGAAGCTTGGCTTGTAAAGTTTCTTTATAGTGGGGCCAACATATGAATATATCTTGTAATCAATTCATGCCCTATTATATTTAGCCATGTGTGACTTACTAACATTGTTAACTTAGCTACATAATTACAGATCCAAGAAAATGATGCATAAAGTATTGATAATAATATATTTAGTTTCTGCAATAGTCACTGAAGAATTAATGCATTGGTATGGACATACTGCATGAAACTATGAATGCCAAAAGATAATGCCTCATAATTTTTTCTTTTTCAATGGTCTACATATTTGTTCTTGAATTTCATATTGAAGACCATTTATGATTCTTGCTATCAATTCTCAGATGATAATGGTATGTCCTCATACATGACACTGCTCAATGGATCCTGAAAGCAAGAATTTTGGAAGAGGTAATCTTGAAGATCAAATACTTTCTTTTTTTCCACTTCCTATTCAGTTAAAACAATGTCAATAAAGGCCAAGAAGACATTGATACTATAATCACTACAACAAAAAATTCACAATAATGGAACAATTGTGAAACTTTGTTACTAATTAATAAAATTGTTTGTTACTTTATTACACAGGTAACTATCTGCATTGTGATGTGTTGGTAATCTAGGACCAAGGGAGCTCACTAACATCACAATCTGAAATTTCAGCTCATGTCAAGATTTATTTTTTTGGAGGATGGAATGGAAAAGGTAATGGAATGAGTTATTCCATTCCATTTCTTCCCTGATTCCATCATTACCAAAGACTGATTCCATCGAATTGCTATCACTATTTCGTTCTTTTTTATCATTCTCTTGTAATCTGTGTGTTTTCGTTCATTAATCCCAGAAGAATTGTTATCCCAGCAGTTTGTGGTGTTATTTTTATCTTGAGGGAATTTGAGTTCACAACAGTGTCACATAATTCACATTAATCTTGATGCAAAATACAACATGCAAAAGTTGTAATAAATGTTGATCTGTATCCAAATTCCACCATCAGTAGTAACCAACATGACCAAAAGTAAAATGACTATATCCAAACAACATTTATTTGTATGAACGATCTGGTATGTAATGACATATTTACCCCTGATTAAGTAACAAATGGTGATGTTGAACTACTCCATGACTCAAAATTCTATCAAAATTACTATAGACTGTTGATCCGGAATCCTCAAAGGAAGATATGCCAAAATGACCATATTGTCCTTTTTAATTCTCTAATCCTTCTTTGATGTACCTGAAAGAAAGTGAGCAAACCAAACCATGAATGAAAGGGCATTTTGGTCATTTGATCAACACTCAACTCAAGACATTTTTAATGAATCCATTAGTGGCATTACACTAGGAAAGTTTGATATTGGATAAACTGGCCAACAATGAGCTGACTTCTACAAGTTTTCACATGTCAATGGGGGCAAGAATTAAAAAAGGGAATGTGGTCTCTGTGAGTAAGAAGTTGATATATTGAAATTGATTAGTATGAACTTAGTACTCAAGGACTGTCAAGTAGTATTTGTCATTCCAATGTTCATGTTAATTACAATTGATTTTAACAAGAGGGTGTTTGAATTTTAAGATTCCAAGGTCATCTGGTTAAAATTAAACAATAAGTTTTCAAAATAGAGATCCTACCATTTGATTTTGCATCTCGATCACAGACGCTCCCTTATCCATCGTGAAACAGTTGTAGTTCCTTTGTATTTCTGCCTGTGTTTGTCTGTTGCAAAAACAGAAATCAAAGCTCTTGCCGTATGATGATGATGGTCCGGTGGTGGGTTGGTTGAATTATTGGAGGTGCGAGGCCAGGCTGGCCGGTGATGATGGTGTTGCGACAGGGGAGATAGAGATGAAGTACCGATTAGTGGTGTAGAGATGGAGGAAGGGTGGTGTTAAGGTGTTCGGTTGGGAGGAGAAGTGTGGGAGGAGGAAGCTGAGTACTTGTTCAGCGTATTCAATTTAGGTATTGAGCCGTACTTTATTTCAAAATGGGGCGTATTTTATTTAGGTATTTGATCTTGTTTCTAGTACAACTCATTAACCGTATTAGATGTTGTAATTGGGCGTATTATATTTATTTAGTCCTTTCTAATACGGTTTTTATTTACAACCGTATTACATGTGGGTATACTGTATAGCCTGTTTTCCAGTAGTGTACGTATATATATTTGTTGTACAAGTTTCCTTATTCTGATAGGAAAACTTTTCTTAAATCCTGATAGGTATCAACTATCGAGTGCTCCTCAAAATATGATTATAGACCGTTTGAAAATTAATGGGAGACATAGCCTTAGATTTCTCCAGAATTTGGCTTTTATCTTATACTTTGTATATAGTTATTTGTATAAAATTCAGTCTGTTATTATCTTAATTTTTAATCTTTATCGTTTATACTTATAATCTATAATAATTTCTAAAGAATATATTATTAAGTATCCGTAAATGTGTACGAAACTTTATGAACAAGAAATAATCTATTAGTAATTACAATGTATTTTACTATTTTATTTATTTAGTTTTTCAAAATTCTAAGTGACTTAATTTTAAACTTTTTTTAAATAAGTAATAATGTCTTTTTTCAAAAAAAGTTGAGAGACTTATTTGATAATTAATAAACATGTATTGTGTGGTTACATGTTTTTTTCTTAGTTCTTAATTATTCTAATATATTAAGTATTTTTAGTTTGGTTAATTAATTATCATTAAAATGCTTTGTTAGTGTTTAAGTATAAAATATAAGAGTATATATTGGCAAATTGTTTTAATTATGAAAAACACAAGAATTGAGATACTATTATATGAAATTATTTTTTAATAAATAACAGACGTGAATCATAAAGATTGTCCATTATTTAGATTGGAAAAAATATAATTACATATATTATAGGGTTGATGATGAATATGTAACTTTTGGCTATTTAGATACTAGCTAGGATCCAAATTCGATGACATATACATGTAACCGGGTAAAAATCTCTATAATATATAACCTAGCTTCCTAAGATATTTGACCATAACACTCTCGATGAGTATTGTCTAATAAGTTTGTGTTTTTTTTTTTTTTTTTTTTTTTTTCTGGAAACCATCTATAAAATGTTTACAAAAAGATCGAGGAAGGTTATTAAATTTTGTTGCCAGCCCCATGTAACATCTATTTTTTGAAGCTAGAAGTTTTGGACATTTTGATAAAAATAAAAAGTTTTTATTTTAAAATAAAATAAATTGAACCGAAATAAATAAATACATGGAAGTAAGTGATTTTGATTAATAACCCTCATAAACATTATTGCTAAGTCAAAAATAAATTACGATAGAGTTTGAGCGTCAAAAGAAAACTATTAGGCACTACAAGAACTTGAGTTTCAGCTACGGATTTAGAGAGAGATTTATTCTCTAGCAAATTTTAGGATTATAGGGAGAAAATTACGACGGATCTACGATGGTTTAAACAATTATTTTATTTATTCAACATATAGCATATTAGAGAGGGTTTAGTGAGGGATCAGCTACGGATCTCGCAAGTATTTATCGACACACCCTTATTCCTCGGCAATCGGTCGAAAACGAAAGCATTTGGCGAGGGTTAACGAGGGATAAAAAAATTGTCGACTTTTTCCCATTCGGTACGTCTTTAGGTAGAGAACGCCGACGGAGGGTACGCGCGTTAAGTTTTTTTTATCGACGATCTCTCGTTGAAATTGGTGCAATCCAATTCCAATTTCACGAAGTTTGTGTAAGTTTCATTCCCTCCCAAATCTGTTTTATCACTCCAACTGAACACACATGACTCTGGAGTTGCAGCATAACCTAATCTCTCCCTCCTTGTTCAAATAGATGATGACACCACTCACCATTGCAGCTTCCAATTCCGGCAACCTCCACATTTTTAAAGTCTAAAATTATTCTTTGTTAACTTCCGATTAATGTAAATCTCTTGATTTTGTTTGCTTTAGTCGCGTATTAGGTTAGATTTGGTTCAGTTTCACAATATATTACATTTGGGTTTAATGTCTCCATTTTTCCTTTTTTCAATCATCATTCTTCTTATATCTCAACATTATATGCACGAATCACCTTGAAGCTTTCTGGTTATTGTCTATCATAGCCATATGAAATGCCTTCTTTATTAACAAGTTAATTTCTGGTCTGCCATCGATTGCATCATGTAATTAATTGTAACGTCCGTGTTTCGGGGCTAAGCATTAGTAGATGATGTAATAGTCTAGGTCAACTATTGTAACTCTTTTGAAGCAATAAAGATGAATTATTTGAGTATTACGTGAATTATGTGAATTTATGTGCTTTATACTTAATTATAAAGATATAATAAAAATAAGCGTCAAAATTAAAGTGAGAGATAAACCCGATATCTTTACATAAAGTTTTAGTGGTCGAAACAAGGATTCCGGATATATAAAGAACGCCGAAATCCGAGTTATAACGAAGAAGTTATGACCCGTCGAAGTTTCGCGACGGAACCGGCACGACACCGGGAAGCGTAAATAGTGAATTTACGATACAAGACTTTTGGGCCTTAGTAATCTAAATGAAAGTTGTAGTATACGTTAAACCGAGAACATACAAAAAAGAACGCCCAAATCTGACTTCGTATGAGGAAGTTATGATTTTTCTAAGATTCGGCTTAGCAGTGCACGGCTCGAAACTCGAATTTTAGTTCGAGCGGTTTTGGCCTACACGACCTAAATGAGAGTTGAAGATCTCATTAATAGGAACTCAACAGTAAAAAGACAGACTAAAACGGAGTCTGTATGTAGAAGTTATGAATTTTACGTAGTCATTTAACAGTATAATCTTCTCATACAGTTAAATTTAAAATCGGTAGAGAATTAGCCGACGGAGTCAAAAGGAAAGTTGTAGATCTTATTTTTACCTACGCGTGGATATAAAGAACGTCGAAAACGGAGCTCGTATGCGAAAGTTATGAATTTTTGAAAATCGGCTGATTTCCACCCTGTGTGCGATGCCACATGTCAGCGCCAGGCTGTAGCCAGCTGGCTCACGACGTGAGCACCCTTTCTCACAATGTGAATCGGCCCAGACAGCCTATAAATAGAGGCGTAAATCACCCCAAAACACACACCTTTCATCCCCTTTCTCTCCCATTACCCCCAAAACCTCTCTTCCATTCCCTAGTACTTCCTAAGTGCTAGAAGCGAGTCCTGGAGAGCCCGAAGGCTCCAAGAAAAAGAGTTTTTCGGTTTGAAACTCTGCCCGCGCGGAGCCCGGTTTTCAAGCAAACTTCCTGGTTTCGTCAAAGAAGATTATTTTTAGAAGCGAGGTGCTGTCCAAATCACTCTGTATCACGTGAGTGTATAGTCACTTTCATCTTACACATAGATATGAAGTATTGTATATAAATTATGTGCTATGTGGATATATATGTTATCTGTTTACCTGAGATGTTTGCTGGATGAAAGATCTATACTTCTTTCTTTCAGATCTGAAACTTTTTCCTTCAGATCTACACTTTTTCATCTCAGATCTAAACTTTTTCTTCATATCTAAACTGTATGCTTTGAGATCTATGTTGGATGAAAGATCTGAACTTATTTCTTTCAGATCTACACTTTATCTTTCAGATCTAACACTTTTCTTTCAGATCTGAGACTTTTTCTTTCAGATCTACACTTTCTCACCTTAGATCTAAGCTTTTTCTTTAGATCTAAACTGTGTACTTTGAGATCTATGAATGAACTGAACTTCTTTCCTTCGGATCTGAACTTTTTCTTCAGATCTAGACCGTATATATATTTTATGCTTTGAAAGTCATGTTGGATGAAAGATGTAAACATTATTTTTCATATCTAGACCGTATAAATATTTTATGCTTTGAAAGTATGTTGGATGAAAGATGTAAGCTTTGTTTTACAGATCTGGACCATGTATGTATTTTGTATCTACAAATATGTTGGGTAGAACAATGGGTAGATGAAATAGATGATGTGTGTTAAAATGATGAGAGGCCTCGATGTTTACGATGTTTAAGATGATCCAGTCGTCTAGCGGAGTATAGATGACGACCACAGACTTTTCTAGACAGTCCAGTGGAACGCTAGCAGGCTCGCAACCTGTAGGTGTTTTTGAAGATGTACTCCATCCCCCCATGGTTGCCTTACGGACACATATGGCAGAGGAATCCCCTTAGCAGTAGTGTCCATCCCGATGAAACTCCTTAGGATAGGTCCCTTATAATAGATGTTTTAGGGACGTAAAGTGAGGATAACGGGAACGAGTAATCGGGTTAGCAATTTGATGAAAATAAATAATGAACTTATTACTGTGGGTTGAAAACCCTATATGCTCACCAGGCTCCCCAGCCCGACCCACTCAGTTTCTTGTATTACAGGTAGTGGAAAAAGCATAGTTGGATGATTTGACGAGAGATTACGGATTTGAGGCCAGATAGTGTTTTGTGGCCTAAGGTGTTTATTTCTTTTTAGTTTATGCTTATGGTCTGTGTCGATGATTGACATCCCGAGTTTTTGCAATGTAATGGAAATACATTTCTTTAAGAAATGCTTTGATAAAATTTATATCATATTTTGTTTTTGGAACAAATTCCGCAATACTTTTCTTAAGAAGTTACTCTGATTTTTATTTAAAAAGCATAAACAAAATCGGTCTTTTCTGACCGTAAAAATGGGGATGTCACATTAATGCCTGTAAATAGTATGCATTCTCCCAAATGTATATGCCAACATCACTTTAATAAAGTAAAAAGTTTTAGTATGTTTGCAACTATGTATGATTAGACACTTAGAATTAGAACTTGATTTAGGGTTTGATTGGTTGTTTGGAATGGAATGATAGAGGAATGAGATGGATTTCCTTACCTCAGACTTTATCTCATTTGCTCCTAGGGCAACCTCATTCAATATTGAGCTACTTTGATTCCTCATGCTCTTCTGTAGTTGACTTCAAAGCTTGACTATTTGCACCAAGATCCTCTTG